CTTGGGGAAGATGGAGGAAGCTTGGGGAAGATGGAGGAAGCTTGGGGAGGATGGAGGAAGCTTGGGGAGGATGGAGGAAGCTTGGGGAAGATGATGGAAACCGTAGTAGGAATAAAACTCACCAGTTGCAGTTCCATGCTCTTCACTGTCCTGTCCTTCGCATCCAGCTGCTGCTGCAGGAACACTAGCTGCCTCTTCAAGTCCTGGTTCTCCTACAACACAGCAACCACCACCACACACATGCTCAGATAACTCACTCACTTAATCACATCCATACGCAACCTCCATCGCTCCGACATCGCCATCGTCGTCCCGCTGACCGAAATATAATGTATTAAGGTTTATATTATTATTATTATATTGTTATTACTATTATTATTATTATCATGTATTACCCAGCGTTTGGACGTCTACCCCTATTCTTATGATAGACCAATAGTCGTGGTACATGTGACAATATGTGTGGTACCGTGTGATGTGGGTTTCCCATACTAGGCTCGCTGGTGCCTTCAAGGCATTACTACCTTGTATTAATGTATTACAGGGAGGTTTATTGTATTATTATTATTATTATATTATTATTATGTATTATCTCGCCTTATGAGCGGCTTACGATAGACTAATACTCGCCGAACATGGTGACGTGAGATGTGAGATGTTGGTTTCTCTCTGACTAGACATGCTGGTGCCTTCAACGCCTTATTATATATATTTAATTACCTTGTATAAATGTTGATCAGCAAGGTTTATATTATTATATATATATTTAATTACCTCGTATAAATGTTGACCAGCTATCTTGGCCTCAGTGTCACAGCCAGGGAAGCTCCGGTGAAGTCCGTTCTGTAGTGAGGAGATCCGATTAATTATGCAATCTGTTCGTTAATTATAATTAACGCGATGTAACGAAAGCGGATGATAATCGCGACCGGATGAAAATCACTCGAGGAAAACCAACTTAATTTAAACTTAATTTAAATTAATTATGATTTTCTAACTTTTATGATTTGGTAATAATGATAACCAACAATCGTTCCCCGTAGCAAACAATATAATTCTAGTGAACAATATAATCATTGCTTTCGGATAGAACGTGAGTTTTACCCATATTCCACGCCACCTCACACACACATACCTTATTTATAATGTTCTGTTCAAACGGAGAGACGGTATCCGCCTGCGGAGGTAAACAGGGTTACAGTTATTAGTTCTGACACGATGATGATCTTTATCCGTCGCTATCAACGCAAAAACACGTTTCTTTTACCCAAAAAAAACTGGTTTTACAGCATTAGCAAAAACATAAATTGCCAAAGACTTCCAGCGGACGATCATGCGCAAACAGAACATGTGAAAGTTTGAAGACAGGCGCTGAGTGGGCCGGGCAAGACGACGAAAACACGAAAACAAATAATAAGTCTTGCCATGCCGAAAAAAGTAAGTGCGCGAACAAAATCAACCGAAACGATTTTCCAGCCAGTTTCACCGGCAGATGGCGCCGCCGAAACCAACATCGACTTTTCACGGAAACAACGATTGGAACAGTAATAGAGATGAGAGTAACGTGAGGTAGACGATAACTGAGTTAGCGCTGGTAGCTAAACACATACCGGGCTGGCAACGTCCTGTGAGACAAGCGTGCGAGGTACACCGGTGCAGAAGACAAGCCAAGACCGTGCAAAAATGACAGAATAAAATGAGGAACACATCCACACATATATACATCTGTATCTATCTATCTATCTATCTATCTATCTATCTACATCCACACATATATACATCTGTATCTATCTATCTATCTATCTATCTACATACACACATATACATCTATATCTATCTATCCATCTATCAATCTATATATTATACACACACTATACTCCTATCTGTGTATCTATCTATCCAGCTATCTATCATAGTTACACACATTATATGCCATTTAGTATATAAATTCGATCATATTACTATTTTCTTATCTCTACCTACCTATCTATGTATGTACATTCACATCTGGTATGCTTATGTGGTATGGTGGTAGTTGGGCGTGCATTTTTTATCTACGAATATTGCTAACTACAACAGCGTGAAACATTTTTTCTATACCGAACAGACGTAATATTTCCGAATCATTATTATTTAAACAGAAATCGTCGCCGCCTCGCTTGACGCCCAACAGCGCCACGGATGTATGCGGGGGGGTGGGGGGTCTATTCCTTCTCCCGGTTCGCGGGTATATATTTCGTGCTTCAGCCCCCCCCCCTGCATGTTCGTTTACTCCGCCGAGATCGTGCACCAGAGTAGACGGTATTTTCTTTGTAACGCTGGGCCGGGGCATGGGTAACGCCACTCTCTTCGTACTCCTCCTGACGGACGATAACGCCGGCAGGAGTGCCGTATAACAAACGTGCTTTATTACGCGAGATATTGATGCTTTGTTTGGCCCTGGCTTAGTGGGCACACTTTGGGATCTATACTGCCCTCTAGGTTTTACACTGGTAGCTCAGAGGCCCGGGGCCTGCAGCGAAACATTGCTCGGCCTCTCACTGCGGCTCTTCAAGACCCTTTCGAATCGTTCACCCACGCCGGGACGCGTCACTTGTTTCGGGTTCTGCATCATGCGCGTACGCGTGAACCGGACGGGGGGTCGGGGTGCGAGTCCAGAGATCTCTCTCGGCGACGTCTTGGTGCTGCGCTGCGGGGCCCTCTGTTTGGTACTGCCAAGAAACAAAGAGAACGGCGGGAGGGGTGTTTATGCTGGATTGTCCTAGCACGTTTTGCGTTGGTCTGCCAATCGGCGGGCCCGTTGGGCTACGCGGCGCATCCGCCCCGTGTAGCGCACCCTGGGTTTTGACGGTCAGCATACGCCCACCCGTTCGTCACGCAGATCCCGCCGAGCTCATCCCTCCGACGTCGCCACGGCGATGGAACAAGGACGATGAACAACGAGATTGTCGCTAAGCGACGCGACCGACCGAAATGAAGGAACGGACGGAGCGTGGTTCATGGCTTTCACCGTCGTCGCCGCGGCCAACCGCTTACTGCCGTACTGCCGGCGGTCACCACACGATCTGGTTTTCACGCCCGATTTCACTCAACATTAACCTTAGAAATGTGCGGCTGGGGCGTAAGTGTGTGTGTGTGTGTGTGTGTGTGTTGGTGTGTGTGTGTTTTGTGGTGCAGTCGTGCGTGCGGCGTGCGTGCGTGCGTGAGTTGCGGCGCGTGCGTGTGTGTGTATTGGATCGTGCACCTGGGGGTAGTTGTTGTGTGTGCTGTGTGATGTGTGTGTGTGTGTGTGTGTTGTATGATCGTGTCGTGTGTGTTGGCTGTGGTTGTGTGTGTGCGTGTGTGTGTGTGTGTGTTGTATGTGGGTGTGATATGCCTGGGGGCGTGTGCGTGTGTGTGTGGTGCATGCTGCGTGCGTGTGTGCGTGCGCGTGTGTGTCTGTGTGTGCGTACGTGTGTGTGCATGCGCGCGTGCGTGTGTGTGTGTGTGTTGTTCTGGGTGAGTGCGTGTGTGTAAGAGAGAGTAGAGAGAGAGCTAGTAAAGAGTATCCGACAAACAGACAGACAGGACCAAAGGAAGAGAAAGACAGAATAGACGAAATAGTGAAAAAAAGAGCGAGAAAAGAGAGAGAGCGAGAAAGAGACTTGAGAGAAATCTCGCGCGCCTACGCGGTGAGTGAGTGGAGTGAGAGAGAGAGATCGAGAGAGAGAGAGAAGAGAGAGAGAGAGACAGAGGAGGAGGAGAACGAAGAGGGAGAGAGAGAGAGAGCGAGACGAGCGGGACACGTTGCTCTAGCACTACTCTATCAACACCCGAACGACGAGCGGTGACAAACAGACGCCTGGTTCTTCACGGCATAATGAGGGTATGTCGAAGCATAAAAAACATTACACGGGGGCAGTCAAAGACAGCGTTGTACACATACAGTCGAACATCACAGTGTCAGGTGATGTGAGCGAAGAGGAGCGGAGGGTGGATAGAGAGAGAGAGGGGGGAGGGCGGAGGTGAGGAGATGGCGAGAAGGCGAAGAGCAAGAGGGTGAGAAAGAAGAGAGGGGAGTGGTGGTGAGATAGCGGAAAGAGAGACGAGATAGACGAATAGAGAGAAAGAGACGAGGGAAAGAGACGAGAGAGAGAGAGAGAAGAGAGAAGAGAGAGAGGAGAGAGAGAGAGAGAGAGAGCACGAGAGAGAGAGAGAGAGAGAGAGGGAGAGAAGAGACGAGAGAGAGAGGGTGGAGGACTGGCGGAGATAGAGGAAGAGATATAGGGGTAAGATATAATAAATAAATGGGAAGGAGAGAGAGCGACCAGAGAGACATAGAAGCCTAGCCATATCCAAGGTACACTCTCAAATAAATCTTCTAGATATATTTACTGCTAATATATATATATAATATATATGATAGATGTATAATGCATAGATGTGTGTGTTTACTAGCAGCAGCAGGCAGCAAGCAGCCAGCAGCAGCAGCAGCAGTACGAGGGTACCTGCCCCCTCCCTCACCTCCCAGCGTAAGTCTTACACATCTACAGCGCAGCAGCAGCAGCAGCGCAGCGCAGCAGCCAGCATGTACGGGCGTACCTCCCCCTCCCCTCACCTCCCTAGGTAAGTCTTAACACTTCTACAGCGGCAGCAGCAGGCTAGCAGCAGCAGCAGCAGGCAGCAGCAGCGTGCAGCAGCCAGTGCCAGCCAGCAGACAGCATCAGTAGTAGTAGCAGCCAGCAGCCAGCAGCAGCAGTCAGTACGGAGGTACTGCCCCCTCCCTCACCTCCCCACGTGTAAAAGTCTTACACATCTACCAGCAGCAGCAGCAGCAGCACGCAGCAGTACGCGAGGTACCTGCCACCTCCCTCACCTCCCAGGTCAGTCTTACACCATCTACCACCAGCCAGCAGCAGCAGCAGCAGCAGCAGCAGCAGTACCGAGGTACCTGCCCACCTCCCTCACCTCCCCAGTAAGTCATTACACATTAGCCGCGCAGCAGCGCAGCAGTCCAGTACGGAGGTACCTGCCCTCCCTCACCTCCCCAGACGTAAAGTCTATACAACATCTACCAGCGCAGAGCAGCGCACAGCAGCAACAGCCAGCAGCGAGGTACTGCCACCTCCCTCAACCTCCCAGGTAAGTTCTTACACATCTACCAGCAGCAGCAGCAGCAGCAGCAGCAGCAGTACGGAGAGTACCTGCCACCTCCCTCACCTCCCAGGTAAGCCAACATCATACAGCAGCAGCAGCAGCCAGCAGCGCACACTACGGAGCGTACGCCACCTCCCTCACCTCCCCAGGTAAGTCTTACACATCTACTGCGGCGCGCGCGCAGCAGCAGCAGCAGCAGCAGCAGCAGCAGTACGGAGGTACCTGCCCCTCCCTACCTCCCAGGTAAGTCTTACAACAGCTACCAGCAGCAGCAGCAGCGCAGTACGGAGGCTACCTGCCCCCTCCTTCCCTTCCCCAGGGTAAGCTTACACATCTACAGCAGCAGCGCAGCCCAGCAGCAGCAACAGTACGCGAGTTACCTGCCCCCCTCCTCACCTCCCCAGGTAAGTCTCACACATCTACCAGCAGCAGCAGAGCAGAGCAGCAGCCGCAGCAGCAGCAGCGCAGCAGTACGGAGCACCTGCCCCTCCCTCATCTTCCCCAGGATAAGTCTTACACATCTAACCAGCACGCAGCAGGCAGCAGCAGCAGCAGCAGCTACGGGTCTGTACCGCCAACCCTCACTCCCCCAGGTAAGTCTATACAATCTACCACGGCAGCAGCATAGCAGCTTTAGCAAGCAGTTAGCAGCAGCAGCAGCAGTACGAGGTACCTGCCCCCCTCCGCTCACTCCCCAGGTATAACGTCTACCATCTACCAGCGCAGCAGCGCAGCATTACGGATACCTCCCCCTCCCATACCTCCCACGTGTAAAGTCTATACCATCTACAGCGCAGCTTAGCGCAGCTACGGATACTGCCCCTCCTCACCTCCCCTGGTAAGTCTGTACACAGTCTACCAGCAGCAAGCGCAGCAGAGCAGCAGCAGCATCGGAGTACCTGCCCCCTCCCTCCCTCCCCAGTAGTCTTACACATCTCAGCAGCAGCAGCCGCAGCGGCCAGCAAACAGTACGAGCTACCTGCCCTCCTCACCTCCCAGGGTAAGTCTCACACATCTACCAGCAGCAGAGCAGCAGCCAGCAGCTACGGAGGTACCTGCACCCTCCCTCACCTCCCCAGTAAGTCTCACACATCTACCAGCACAGCCAGCGCAGCAGCAGCAGTCGGAGTCCTGCCCCCTCCCTCACCTCCCCAGGTAAGTTACCATCTACCAGCGGCATACCGATCAGTTAACAGTTCCAGAGAGTTCAGCTGCGAGTCAGTGATCCACTGTGCATTCCTCCCCTCCCCTCCCCTCTCCCCGCGGGCCTAAACCTTCTCTCAAGCGAAATTATCGCACGCCAGGGGGCATAGCGGCTGCCAGAGCTCTGACCTCACGGTCTTCCCATCTCCTCCGGTATGGTGGAGCCAGGGACGCGTACGAAAAATGGGATGGCCGTGAATGGCGCCTCATCTTCTAACGATTACATCTAATAAACGGGTGTGGGGTCTCGGTGGGGGTTTCGTGGGGGGGGGGGCGCGGTTTTTTTGGTGATTTGTTGTTGGGGGGGCCTCTGTCCTCTAATTAGTGGGGTGCTATCTCACTACATTATCGCCTCTACTATGACACTCGCCACGCGCCGCGCAGAGGGTAAC